ATCAGCCTCAGCCTCAGCCTCAGCCTGCCTCAGCCTGCCTCAGCCTCAGCCTGCATCAGCCTCAGCCTGCTTCAGCCTCAGCCTCAGCCTGCATCAGCCTCAGCCTGAGTCTGCCTTCAGCTTCGGCCTCAGCCTCAGCCTGCCTCAGCCTGCCTCAGCCTCAGCATCAGCCTGCCTCAGCATTCAAAATGTGGCCAGGGAGTGGAATTCTGGGAACTCGAAGAACACGAAGTGGCCTACAGTTTGCTCCGGGCATTCAAAATCATACCCAGGAATGGAGTTCTGGGAAGTCCAAGAGCACGAAGTGGCCTACAGTTGGCTCCGGGCATCCAAAATGTGGCCCGGGAATGGAGTTCTGGGAACTCGAAGACCACGAAGTGGCCTACAGTTGGCTCCGGGCATCCAAAATGTGGCCCGGGAATGGAGTTCTGGGAACTCGAAGAGCACGAAGTGTGTGACTGTTGCATCCGGCCCTCCAGAATGTGGCCCGGGAATGGAGTTCTGGGAACTCGAAGAGCACGAAGTGTGTGACTGTTGCATCCGGCCCTCCAGAATGTGGCCCGGGAATGGAGTTCTGGGAACTCGAAGAGCACGAAGTGTGTGACTGTTGCATTCGGCCCTCCAGAATGTGGCCTGGGAATGGAGTTCTGGGAAATCGAAGAGCACGAAGTGTGTGACTGTTGGCGAAAAACGAGCCCGGCACCTGCCGCCCGGCAACTCCCAACACCTGCCCGGACCCCCCTGTGGAGTGATCTGTGAGCTCTTTTGAGTCAACTAGAAACCTATCAGTCTTCGCTGTTAGGTAAAAACCTTCTGCTGACCAGAACCAGAGCTGGGCCCCCCAGACAGCTCCAAGGCTAGAGGAGCAACCACGGCATAACCTGAGGGACAATGCCCGTACTTGGCAACAAGAGGGCCTGGGCTAAGGAGGAAAGCTAGAGGAACAACCACGGCATGACCTGAGGAGCAGCGAGCCCCTTCCGAACCCGAAGCCGCAATTATTTCACCGCCTTGGCTGTACGCGTATCCGGCTGGCGGAAGGGGCGGACGAAGCCCCGGACTGCGCTTCTTGCCCCTACCCCCCACGATTTCAGAGGGGGAGGGTGGGGTTCACTTCGCTCGGGAGCTCCCGAGCCGAAAAGAACCCTACCCTCCCTCTCGGAAATCGTGGGTGGTAGGGGTAGGGTTCGCATGCGGCCCCCTACAAAACTTGTTATTCTTCTTGGTCGGCGGCGTCTCGGGTCAGAGCCGCGGTCAACTGCTAACATGGATGCGCGAAGTGGGCAGCGCCTCGGGCCCTCGCGACTGGCAAGAGCACCACCGCCCTGCAACGCCACGTGGTGATCTCCTTGGCTAGCGCGGCCTGCATCACTGGCGAAAAGGCGCGCGCGTGGGGGTGCCATGGTGTCGGGCCGCTGCTCCGGAAGGGCACGAGGGTGAGGACTCGGGCACGTGCTAACATGGATTCCGTAAAGGTCCGTGGATCTGGCGAGCGTGAGGCCAGTGCCGCGCCGTTTGGCGGCCCAGGCACGCAACGCCATGGAAAAAACAGTCCTCCGAAGACCGCCGAAAACCGCCAGCGGGCGCGCGCCCCGCCGTGGGCGTTTTTTCCGATACAGTCTTCGGCGGTCTTCGGCGGTTTTTCGACGGTCTTCGCTTTCTTTCGGAGGTCTTCGGCGGTCTTTCGGCGGTCTTCGGCGGTCTTTCGGCGGCATTCGGGCGTCTTTCGGCGGTCTTCGGCGGCCTTGGGCAGTCTTTCGGCGGTCCGGGCGACGGCCCGACACGGTCTTCGGCGGTCTTCGGCGTGAAAGCAGGATTCTTCGTGTTAACAAGGGGCTCATGAACGAGCACGCAACATGCCAGTTTCCAGCCTCCGGAGAGGCCCGCCTCTGACCCTCAGAAGAAGCAAAGCTCAGATTTTCGCTGACGGAAAGCAGTACACCGGGGGGAGGGAAGAAGCGTGTACCCTTCGTGCACCTCTTGGGCCCGCGATGGCAGTTCAGGGGGGCCCCACGAATGTATTGCCATCCCCGCTGCCAACCACCCGAAAGACACGGCGCGGGATGCCAGTCCCGGCTGGAGCCTGCAACGCGCAGTCCGCAAGGCATATGCAAGGAGGCCCTGGCGGGGCTATGGCACCGTACAGTCGGACCTAGGCCAGAAGAACACCCCTCAAGAACACGAGACCCTCCGTCGGCCAAAACACACGGAGCAGCAAAGGGGACCCTTCACAGGGTGCACAAGAGCATCGAACAAACACGAAGAACACTGCGGCACCCTCCCCTAACCGACCTCGATCTTCTGCCCTGGTCCGACTGTATGCAGGGAAGGTCTGGCGGGGCTGTGGCACCGTAGTGCTGTCGCCCCTGAACCCAGCAGGCCCCCAGGGGAGCGCCGAGCCACGCTTCGGCCACGCTGCGGCCGCCCGCGGCTTGGCTCCTCCAGCCGACGGGCGGTGGGGAGCCCCTCCTTCCTTGGGGTGCACGGCACACTCGGGACGGGAGCGGCATGAAGTCTGAACTCTCCCTTCGGAGTAGGGGAGGACACTTCCAGGGTTTACTTCAGCGAGCTCCCAGCCGAGGGGTCGAGAGATCCCAGGGCTCACTTCAGCGAACCTCCTCGGCGTCGCATCGGCGCACACGCGGCGGACGCCGCCGCCGCAGCGCCCCCCGCGCCGCTGCCGCATCCTCCTTCTCCGAATATTCTGCCTTCTCCATTCCTTTTCAACTCCTCCCTGTCGCACCACGAGACCGGTCCAAAGGGTGGACCGGTCGTTTCGCCGGATACTTTCCCACAACTTATGACACTGATGCTGATTAAAAGCTGACAACAACTTAACGGATGGAGGGCTGATCGTTTTCAAAATGTTGCTCTCGCCTTAGCGCCGCGCACATTCGTTTTAATTGCGAGAGCTTCACGAATTGAAGGGGCGGATCATTGTCAAAATGTGGCTCTAGCTTTAGCGCCGCACCGTCGCTCTACACATTTATAAGAGCTTCACGGATTGAGGGCGGTTCCTTTTCAACATGTGGCTCTCGCCTTAGCGCCGCGCACATTCGTTTTAACCACTTGCAAGGGCTTCACGGATTGAGGGCGGTTCGTTTGCAAAATGCGGTTCTCGCCTCAGCGCCGCGCATTCTCGTTAAAATATTGCGAGAGCTTCACGAATTGAGGGCGGCACGTTTTCAAAATGTGGCGCTCGCCTTGGCGCCGCGCACATGAATTCCAGAAAGTCGCAAGAGCTTCACGGATTGAGGGCGGGTCGTTTCAAAACGTGGCTCTCGCCTAAGCGCCGCGCACAGTCGTTCTACAAAGCTGTAAGGCTACATTGCAAGAGCTTCGCGGATTGAGAGCGCCTCCTTTTCAAAATGTGGTTCTCGCTTGCACGCCGCGCACATTCGCTTTAAACATTTGCGCGAGTTTACCTGGTGGTCGTGGCGAACGTACAAGAATTGGTATTGGAACGAGTCAGGATTTTCAGGGCGCAACAGTTTCGTTGATTCGCGGTACTGAAGTCCCAGGAATGGTGTTCGGGCACAATTCAGGATAGTCAAGACGTAACTGTCAAGCTAATTCGTGGCGTTGAACTCCTGAGAATGGTGTTCTGGCACGCTTCAAGATGTTCACACGGTTGTTTCCCAACAGGGCCATCTCACCAACCCTCTGGGCGACAGGTGGTCTAACGAGGGTCTCTTTCCTCTTCCGCGACCCCTCTTCCCTTCGGGGAGGGGAACCCTCCCCCTCCCCTCCCTGGGTTTTTTGAGGAGGGGGGCCCGATGTGTCAGAGGGTCCTAATTTCGGACCCTGGGAGGGTCACTACTTGACACCCCTCACGAGGATCGTGGCCCACGAAGGGGGGGAACTACATTTAGGACCCCCCTCTTTTGACCGACCGCCTCCAAGATGGCCCCCCGAGGCCGCCGAGGCCCCCCCCGGGCTCTCAAAAGGCACCCGAGAGGGCCCCAAGAGCGCCCCCAAGAGGCCCCGAGAAGCCTCCAACGGGCCCCCGAGGGGCACACGGGGGGGCCCCGAGCGGCCTCAGGAAGCCCAAGATGACCTCCAGGATGGCTCACGATAGCCCAAGCTGGCTCAAGATGGCCCCCAAGATGCTCCAAGGGGCCCCAAGACCGTTCCAAGACGGCTCGAGATGGCCAGCCCATTCGGACGTCCCAGGGCTTCTGAATGGGCTGACTATGCGTGTCTCTTCCTCTCTCCCCGCGTCAGCTCTCATGGGCATCGTTTGCGGATGGGCTGGTGGGGATAGGGCGAAACGTCAAGAATTCCCCCAGTGGAAATGACCCCGTGTAGGGGCCTATGAAGAGGGATCTTGAAAGGAGGGTGTATTTCAGCATCGTTGATGCGTCTTGAGTTTACTCTGGTCCTCCTCCTCCTCCTCCTCCTCCTCCTCCTTCCCTCCTCTCCGAATCCTCCGCCCACTCCGCCTCGTCCATGCCCTTGTCCTGCCAACAACCCCATCTCCTCCTCCTCCTCCTCCTCCTCCTCCTGCCATCGGGCGCTGGTGACCAGCGCCCACCGTCAGGAAGCGGAGGCGACGGCGGTGACCACGCCCGCCGCCGCAACGCGCTGTCCACCTCGTCCTCCCCTGATATCCCCCGATATGTTTTTCAATGCGCGGTCCCAGAGCTGCTGACCTTTTTTCCCGGGTGGTGGTCCTGCGTCACGGATCCATGTTTGATGGTCCCGTGGGCCCGTTCCAGGGCCCTGGAGGCCGAAATAAGCAAAATCTTAAAAACCCTATCGCCAGAAATCGGGGTCGTCTGGAAGTCTCCTCGCCTGGCTTTCGGGCCAACTCGGGTCTGCGGTGGCCGTTCGGGACGCGCTGGGCATCCCTGGACGCTTCCTGGCGAGGCGCAGCGGCGCAGCTGCTGGAAAGCATCCTTAAGCTGGAGAACCGCCGAACACCCAATGAAACATGCGAGCACCTTGAACCTCGAGGCCCACCGCAAGCATCCACGAAAACGGCGGGCGCGAAGCCCTGCCTCGGCGGCGCGGCGTCCGCGGCGGCGACGCCGAGCGGGCTCCGCAGGCAACCGGCCACGAGGGCGGCGGCGCCCTCGGAGCGGTCGAAGGC